ATGGACCTGGCTTTAACAACAGGCTTCGACCTCGACTTGGATCGAGTTCGATTTAACCAAAGATAAATGTTTGATCACAAAAATTACCAAGCTTACGAGCTCAGCTCGAATGGAATTATGGCTTTAAGGATGAGCTGAATTTTACTGAGCATAAGACCTTCAAGAGAAAACACTCCGACGCCCAACTTAGGAAGAATCTGAGTTGTATTCGAGGGAAAATACAGTGTTCGCGTACCTTGGATAGAAGCAAATTATTTCTATATATAGGCACGGACAGGACTCCCGACCAGGCCTCAACGGCTCTTTAAGGTAAGCGTGAATTACGGCATGCTATCGTGGAGTTTGTTGAAATATGTGGCTAAGCAAGACACATCTAGGTCGGTTCAAACAAAGATTGGGAACGAGACCAAAGGAGATCTTGGTTGGTTCGGCCATAACGGGCGTCGACTCTGTAGATAGTCGAAATATCGAGGTGATAAAATTTGGCTTCATAGAAAGCTATCTCCAACAGATAAAATGTAATTTCCAAAAAAGGTTGAAGTTATTTGACTTGTAAAAAGGTTTTGACCTGAGTGCAGGGTTTAAAACCATGACGATAAGACTAACAAAAATCATGTGATCATGCAAATGCGAACTTCCAATGGCAGTATGCAGTACTTATCGTAGTGGGAGTCTGATATCCGAGCGAAAGGTCAGACCGAACAAATTCATCCTAGCGACCAACACTTCACTACGTAGGTACAGCTCTGGAGGTGAGGCATCGGTCGGTCCTAGAAACGGTTGCTGTGGCATGATGAGTTAATGACTGGAATCCCAGAGATCATAAAGAATGTGATAGGAATGGAGGCTGTGGAAAGCTGTTCTCATATTAAATTGCATCCCTTTGTAGAGCTCTTGCTAGAAATAGCTAATGAAGATCGGGTACCCTGTCGCTGACAATTGAGTGTGGCCTATCAACTAGCTCTAACTTTAAAGGCCGAGGAAAAGCTAAAGAGATATATCGGAGGCTCCACGAGAAGCTGTTGCGCGACCTCTGGCACAACTATCTTATGAAGGATGGGTGCATCTTTAAATGTGCATTGCCTCAATATCATGAATGACAAATGATGCTCCATTTTATTTTGTATTTATTTTTATCACTTGAAAAATGTGTAACAGCATATGATTTGTTTTTTATTTAGCTTAGCCAATGAATTTGATTTTCAATGCATGATGCAATAATGTATATGCCTACTGAAATCTAGAATGCAACATGTATGCATGATACTAATTTTTGTTTTGACAAACGTGATTACGAATGCACAATGCATGATACTTAAATTTTCATAATTTAACCATGATATTTATTTCCTTTTTTTTTTTTGAAGAATATGTATGCCAGTGATGTGAATGAATGATTTGTGAAAATATAGTTGAAAGAACAAGAAGTTTTTCCATATTTTGCAAAGATATTATCTTTTTTGTCTACTATCATCCTTCTTATTAGCAATTATTTAGCAAAGAATCAAATGAGAAAAGGTAATGTCGACATTGGAAGAAACACATCAACTGTTAGTTTTTCCCTTTTGCTTTTTTTTTTGTTTTTTTTAATGAATGCCTTCACTCAGTTTTGAAATCACTTTTTACTCAAAAGAAAAAAACAGACAAGGGATTAAGCTTTGAAGAACAAGACGGAAGAGAGTTGAGAAGAAAAATTTAGGTATGAATAAAAAGCAGTCAAAATAGGGAGATGTTTGTGCAACTACAAGTACCAATTTATGAAGCAGTAAATCATAAGAGCTCAATGTTATTTCATTACCTTCAAAGTTCTCAAAGTAACACTAGGTGGATAATTTTGGACGCTTACCACACAATTAGATGTGACAGAATTAACAAAAGGCTTTTATGGTAAGTAGACAAATATTGATATTCATCACAAAAATTGTATGTGACGAAGGATCTTTTGCAGTAAATGGTCAACTCTCAATGTTGACCATATTTACCATACATCGATAGGCTAGGCTCAAGGTAGATTAGGCTTAAAGCAGGCTAGACTCAAACTTTTATAGGAAGTCAGTAATTTTGGATTCTCACCTGAAAAATGCATCATTGCCCCAATATGATGGTTTACTGGTTTGCACATGAGAAGAAATAAGAAGGCCAAGATAAAGCTATTTTGGTTTAGGAATTTAGCCTGACAACAAAGCTTTGAGAAATATGTTTCAAAGAGAAGAAAAAAAAAAGGTTGAGACTTGGCAAAAATTTATATCTCATTGAGAGTATCAAAGACATTCATTTTTTCACTTTTTTTAAATTTTTTTTACATTGTTTCCTTTTTTCACCTTTTCATTTTTTTCATT